AAAGTTTTTCTTTATCACTTTCAGTTTGTCAACTGAATTGCTTGAGGACAAGCAAAGGTTTAAGCTTGGGGGAGTTGATACGTCTCCGTCGTATCTACTTTTCCAAATACTTTTGCCCTTGTTTTGGATTCTAACTTGCATGATTTAAATGGAACTAACCCGGACTAACGCTGTTTTCAGCAGAATTACCATGGTGTTATTTATGTGCAGAAACAAAAGTTCTCGGAATGACCTGAAACTTCACGAAACATCTATTCAGACAATATAAAAATACCTACAAAAGATGAAGACCAGGGGGCCCACCACCTGTCCACGAGGGTGGGGGGCACGCCCCCCTACCTCGTGGGCCCCTTGGAGCTCCTCCGACCTCAAGACCAACTCTATATATTTGCTTTCGGGGAGAAAAAATCAGAGAGAAGAAATCATCGCGTTTTACGATACGGAGCCGCCGCCAAGCCCTAAAACCTCTCGGGAGGGCTGATTTGGTGTCCGTTCGGGGCTCCGAAGAGGGGAATCCATCGCCATCGGCATCATCAACCATCCTCCACCAATTTCATGATGCTCACCGCCGTGCGTGAGTAATTCTATCGTAGGCTTGCTGGACGGTGATGGGTTGGATGAGATCTATCATGTAATCGAGTTAGTTTTGTTAGGGTTTGATCCCTAGTATCCACTATGTTCTGAGATTGATGTTGCTATGACTTTTCTATGCTTAATGCTTGTCACTAGGGCCTGAGTGCCATGATTTCAGATCTGAACCTATTATGTTTTCATCAATATATGAGAGTTTTGATCCTATCTTGCAAGTCTATAGTCACCTATTATGTGTTATGATCCGTTAACCCCTAAGTGACAATAATCGGGATACTTACCGGTGATGACCGTAGTTTGAGGAGTTCATGTATTCACTATGTGTTAATGCTTTGTTCCAGTACTCTATTAAAAGGAGGCCTTAATATCCCTTAGTTTCCGTAAGGACCCCGCTGCCACGGGAGGGTAGGACAAAAGATTTCATGCAAGTTCTTTTCCATAAGCACGTATGACTATATTCGGAATACATGCCTACATTATATTGATGAATTGGAGCTATTTCTGTGTCACCCTAGGTTATGACTGCTACATGATGAACCGCATCCGGCATAATTCTCCATCATTGATCCATTGCCTATGAGCTTTCCATATATTGTTCTTCGCTTAATTACTTTTCCGTTGCTATTGCTATCATCACTAGAAAATACCAAAAACATTACTTTTACTATCAATACCTTTTGCTACCGTTACCACTACTATCATATTACTTTGCTACTAAATACTTTGCTGCAGATATTAAGTTTCCAAGTGTGGTTGAATTGACAACTCAGCTGCTAATACTTGAGAATATTCTTTGGCTCCCCTTGTGTCGAATCAATAAATTTGGGTTGAATACTCTATCCTCGAAAACTGTTGCGATCCCCTATACTTGTGGGTTATCACCTCCAGTCCAGAATCTTCTCCTGTACCCTCCTCCTGCATCACCACCTTTTTCTGATTTCCACTCCCTGTACTAGCAGTTTTTGCAGGATGGGTGTCAGCATTAGTTTGCTTGCCTCCAGCTTTAGGAGCTCCACCTCCCAGATTCTCTCTTTTATCAGTTTCCATATTGTCATGTTCACTAGCATCATCATCCCCATCTTTCCTTGCCTCAGAGCTCTGCCCTTTGTTTGATCTATCCCGCACAGGGACCTCCACAGCAAATTTCACTTTAAAGGTTATGCCTTCCATTTCAAACATTCTTTCTGTAGGGATTTTAGATGGATCTCTACAATGGACTTTCACCCTAACATACTCAAACATGTTCTGGAACATTCCTTGCCAGTCCATGTCGAGAAGCAGCCCAAACGAGGATGTGCATTGGTCTACCACAGCCCATTCACACCATGGGGAGTAAACCCCTTATCTGAATCCAGACCTCAGCCAGTTCTTCCATATCTCCTATCTCTTCTTTCCAGACCTCCACATTAACCACCACATCTTTTTCGTAAGTCCAAAGCTTGGATACCCAGCTACTTGCTCCACTGAAATGTGTGGTGGAAACTTCACCAGGTATGACCACTCATCCAAGGCCCTGATTTGCCAGGGCCAATTGGTCTTGTATATAGATGAGAATTCTTTAGCCAGCTCCTCCTTACTAATCTCCCCCTCCTCAACATAGACCACACCATTGTTTTTCAGAACACCAATGGAATTTACACCCATATCGGCTACCTCCAGGTGATAAAAACCCAAACCTGGAGCAGCACTCCCAATGTACTTTGCCACCTGGTGAGGTCTCTTCTTGACAGGACAAGCATCAACCTGGTGTGCTGTAGCTTTGCAAATGAAACACTTCTTGGGGTTTTTCACATATAGCTCGATGATGTCCCGGATCCCCACAGTTATAGCAAGTGACCTGAGCATATTCAGTAAATTCCACAGCATGACCCCCTTGCTCACTCCTATCCACTGTCCCAGGACCTGCAGTCACTTTGATTTTCCCTTTCTTCTGCTTCCCCTCTTTTCCCTGAACCTGATTCTGGCCTCGAGGCTTCTGTTGATGCATTTGCCCTTCTGTTTGCTGCCCTCCTCCAGATCCCCACTACCCCTATTGAGGAAACATCCCCTATGGAGGATAAGGCGGAAAGCCACCCGCAAACATCCATGGAGGAGGAGCCCCTGGATAGCCGAAGAAAGGCGGCGGGTATCCAAAGGGTCCCATCCCCCCTGATCCGGCGCACCCTGCATCTGCTGCGGAGGTAGAGGTCTTCCCGCACCTCTCCCCCTGCATTGACCTCTTGCGTTATCAGCCATTTCTTTCTTCCTCTCCCACAGATCTCTGGCCAATCTCACCCCTCTAGAAACTAAGGTGGACCAGCTGAAAACGATCGGATCTTTGAACCTCAAATCTCTTTCTGCTGTAGGAAAACAATCATCAACATCAAAACTCTTCTCCTCCCACAAACCCCTACGGATCCAGACTATGGCTCCCCCTTCTCTAGGGTTTGCTTTTTTCACATGGGCGCCGTGCAGCACGGGTTGTATGTGTGTGTGGGGGGGGGGTGTTGATAACTGCTCCCCCCACAGCTGTCCAAAGTAGGTGGCATCCACCTCCTCCCACTCACTGACAGCGGGGGCCACATGTAAGTCACCAGGGCCCGAATCTCTCCTGACCAAACTCCTCTCCATGCGCAGCTCGAAGCTGAAGCCTCCATGCTCCCCAAGCACTAGCAATGGCGATGAAACCCCTGAATCCTTCGTCCTGTTGGGGTCCAGGACACGAATTCCTCTCTCCCCAGTCTGATCACCTCTCAATCCCTTCTGAACAACCTCCATTTCGCTCTCTGTGCCCTTGAGGTTGAACATGCCTCCTCCTCCGCCCACCGCAAAATCAGATCCACTGTCAGCACAGGTGCCATGGCGAAAATCCTCTCTCGCTCGTTCGCATCGGTCCTCGACATTGCTTGTAGAGCTCTCGCTCGTTCGCATCGGTCCTCGACATTGCTCGTAGAGCCAGAGTCCTTTTGGCATCGCGCAGATTTCTCTCTGCATGATTCCTCGCGAACACCAGCACTTGGATCTCTGCATCTGACGCCACATCTCGGGCTCCCGCTGCACTCATCCTGTCGGCCGCCCACCGCCAACGCTCCCCGTCCGCCGCCCTCCGCCTCCTCCAGCGCAGCTCCAATCCCAACCCCTGCCGCAGAAAAACGCACCTGTCGCCCGGGGTGAAGGAACTCGATCAGGCTCCGAGTTGCTGCGAGGAACGTAGGCCGCGAGGGGCGCGGCGTCACCGGCGAAATCTGCCCAACGGTCTAAGCGGGAGGCGTCGCCGGAGAGGGGGGGGGGTAGGTGGGGTGGGGTGGGGTGGGGTGGGATGGGGTGCAGACTGCAGAGTCATTCTAGTCCCCCGGTAATAACAACCCCGCTTCCCTCTTGCTTCTCCCATTTCCAGGCCCCAGGCGCCGGCGCCGCCACACGGCCGCACCCCGTCTGCCTGATCTCCCACTCCAGTACTCTCTGTCACCACGGCCGCTCAGGGCGCCCGCATCGTCCTCGTCACGTTATCCCGCGCCACTCCTCGGCGGCAGGCAGGACGGCGCGGCCTCGACGTCGGCGTCTGTTGTGAGTTCTCTAATCTTCTTCTTCTTCTAGGTTTCTGTATTTCTCCAACCAAGAACAGAGGGTGACCCACATCTATTGATCTGTCTGCCGCGGGCTTCTAGAAGCCAATCGAGTTTCAGCAACCTTCTCTGCAATTTGCATTTGGTCGAGGGAGGAAGGAGCAAGGTGAAATCTATGCATTACTTTTCTTGTGCGTGCTTCCATGGTTTGCCTTGCCTGGTTACTTTTCTTGAACGTTAATTTATTCATGCAAGTAAAAGATGGTGCCGTTATTCCCCTTTTCTAAAAGAGGATTGTAGAGTTAACTTGTGATTTCTCCGTGATTTTGCGATGTAACTCAACTACAGGAGATGTTATTGTTACATACTCCCTCCGTCCCAGTACAAAGTTGAGTCACTTATTTTGGGACGGAGGGTGTACTGTGTAACAGTTTGTTGTACTTTCATTGTCGTTAATTGTGAATCTCCATGTCGTATTATTGTTCTAAGATAGTGTTTTTTTTAACTCCCCACATTCATGTTGAGAATCCTGGCTCCACAACTGCATTCCGACCAGTCAAAAAAGAATCATGAACCTTGCTTATGACAAGGGAGCACACTCACCAGTTGAAGTTGTGCTTGCAATATCATCCCTATAACTTAGTTCATAAAAAAACACCCTTATATTCAGCTCAGATAACGGTACACTGTACATAGAAACCAAAGCATGAAGAAAACCATCAAATCCAAACCCAAAGAAAATAGGTGTGCGGGCACACACGCATATCCTCTTCGCCCTTCAAACTAGTACTACCATACAGCCAGAATCACATGGTTTAGCTCACGCACATCCCCGATCATACGTACACGCTTGGGGTGAAATCACTATATCTCGTATGTGATCCCAACTTTGAGCAACTGATCTTTCGGAATGGCTAGTGCCTTGTGCCCCTCCGTCAAGTTCTTCCTCAAGAATGTGTAAACATAGTTGACCACCATCTTCTTGAACACCGACGAGTTGGCTTTGGCGGTGACATTGGCCTCACCCATCAGATACACCATCCCGTGTTCCACCTCTCTGTCGATCAGTTGCTTCTCCTCCTCGACTGTCCGGTTGGAACGGAAGCTAGCGATCCTCCCCGACGAGTGGCTGCTCACCCTGGCTTGGACCGTCTCCTCGCTGTGCACTGCATTGCGCGTGGATCGCCCCGATGCCATAGATGGCTGATCACTGGAAGCTTCACCACCAGCGGTGATCTCCTCCACTTCGTTGTGTGCGAATGCGCTCTCCTCCTGAATGAACATCTTGAGCCCATCCATGAGGAAGGCCACAAACTCCTTGGGCTCCTCCAGCGTGTCGGTATATCCATACCGCGCCACGCAGCGGAACATCCGCTGCTCCCTCGGGCCGACCTGCCGGAAGAGAAACCTCTCTGCGAGCAGGACACGCGAGATGGGCAGGTGCTTGATGGACATGAACATGAAGATGGAGTGCACGGATGGTATCCTCTCGATCAGCCGAGGGAACACCGGAGGGATGCCCTGGACCAGCTCCGTGTAGAGGAGGCCAACCCCAGGGATCCTCCTCACATCGTTCTTCTCGAGCAGCACTGTCAGTTCACTGGTGGGCACGATGTGATCCAGCTCGTACCAGTACCTCTTGACTTGGACGTAGTGCCATGCCGCCATCAGGCTCATCACGACCAGCGCGAAGCAGATGGGGAGGTAGCCGCCCTCGATGAATTTCGACAGTATGGAAGAGAGGTAGATCAACTCTATGGAGCCAAACACGACGTAGAAGAGCGCGATGAAGATGACGTGCTTCTTCCATATGAGGAGCATCACGACGGTCATCAGGTGGGTGGTGATGATGAATGTAGTAACAACACAGATCCCTGCGAGCCACCAACATACGTATCACATCAAATTTTGACCCATCAGGCTGTTGAAAGGATCATCAAACACAAACCATTGAAGTGGGAGTGGTGGGTACCAACTTACCATAAGCATGTCCGATGCTGGTGGTGGTTCTGAAGGCGACGGTGACTACGATGCTCGCCAATCCCATTATGAAGTTGACTTCAGGAATGTACACCTGCCCCTCGTACTTGTGTGATGTGTGGATGACTTGAACCCTGGGCATGCAACCCAGAGACAGAGCCTTGGAGAGGATGGCAAATGCGCCGGACAGCATAGCTTGGCTTGCTATGATGGCAGCAAGGATGGCAACGATGAAGGTTGGCCAGAACATGGGTGCTGCAGGAGGAACATGCACACATATTTATCTATTTATTTACCAAGTACATATATTTGCTGGGAATATGCTTATTTGTTCTTGTACCTACCTGGGATAGATCTATAGAAGGTGTTTGCCACGTTCTCTGGGAATTTCCTCAGGTAAGCCGCCTGGCCGATGTAACACAGCCCAACAGCCGGGAACAAGATGCCGTTGAAGCTGATCTGTGGGATATATATGCATGGTTCTGTTATGACTTGTGGCTAGGGAAAGATAGTTGACTTCCAGAATGAATCTATATCTAATAAACATTGAAGTACCTGAACAGCCCTGATGTTGAAATGTCCCAGGTCAGCAAACATACCTTCTGTGCCTGTACATTCAGTGAATTCATCATGTCAGATTAACTATTATATTACAGCCTATGCAGGCAGGCAGGCAGGCAACACAAGGTCTTTTCAGTGAGTCAGAAAAGGTTAAATTGTTGGTTACCTGTGACACACAAGATGACTCCACCAAGTGAAACCCATCCCTCCTTGCCATTCCTCTTGAAGTACTGTATGATATATATCGGATTGAAGGCCCGTAGGACACCGACATCATGAACGACGAGGTTGTACAACCCGATGCCCGCAATGAAAAGGAACCACACCGAGATGACCGGAGCAAACGTGTAGCCGACCTTGTCGGTCCCGAAACGCTGGACCGAGAAGAGCATGAACAGGATCGCCACCGAGATGAGCACCACTTGTGCTGTTCAAACAACCACGGAAGGCCGTCAGATCGGTGTGATGGACTGATGGGTAAGAAATATAAGCAAACATCTTAGCTACTAATCCTTCCTTGGATTCACATACTTTGAGTCAGGCTTGGCGCTTTTTCTCTGATCCCACTCACTGCAGACAGCACTGCCATGAACAAAATATATGTATGTTAGTATTACTTCTCCTTTTATGCATGAGAATATTAATACTGTATATAATTAATAGGCGTTGACTCTTTGATACATGATTGATTGATTGATTGATTACCAGAGATTGCGGGCGTCAAGGTTCCATCGCCGATCACCATGGATGTGCCGAGGATGGTGAGGGTGAAGAGCGCGATCTTGGCCGCCTTGCTAGACTCGAGCTTCTGCTTGGCCCACTGCGCCCTCCTCAGCTGCGAGTTGGGCGCTTCTATCCGGTAATTCGACACCGCAGCATCCTCGGCCTGCTGGTCCGGTATCATCCTGATCTTCGCATACCGCGATATCAGCGAGTAAAGCGCAAACGTGCCACCTGCAAACAACAGCCAGCCAGCAAGAAGAGCAGCGTGCAGTCCAGCTTCAGCAATCCAGCAAGCAGGTACGTATGCTAATTTGATGGAACTAATTGGGGTTATATATGCGTAAATGCGTATGCATATATACCATCTCCGTTGTCGTTTGCGTAGAGCACGATGAAGACGTACTTGAGCATGGGTATGATGATGAGGGTGTAGATGATGAGCGACAGGACGCCCAGGAGGTCGTCGTTGTGCTTGATGCCGTCGGGGAAGGTGCTGGAGTAGACGTAGAGCGGCGACGTCCCGATGTCGCCGTAGATGATGCCGACGCTCTGGAACGCGAGGCTCAGCGTCCGGACCCAGCTCACCTGCATATATATATCATGCATGCGTCGCCCAGAGGAAGTTAAGTAGGGTACTCACACTGCTCCGTCAGATAGATTGCACCATTGCTGCCGGCGAATTGACATGGCCCTCTGAATTGCAGGGGAAGGACGACACATGATATACATACCCGGGAGCCATGGTGGTTGGAATGGGACACCTTCTCTGCATCACCCCACAGCGAGTCATGGCGCTTGAGCGGGGCAGGCACCGTCTCCGTGCCCCGCGGCTCCTCCGCCTGGGCCGACATCTCCTTCAGGGGGTGTTGCAGCTTGCAGTTCTACTCCGGGTTAGCGGCGAAGGTCTGCAGCTGCAGGTAGCTAGCTCCCGTTGGAGGAAGAAGGTGAGGGCTTGTTTAAATAGAGCGGTGCAGATTTGAGCTAGCACATGAGGTTGCTCCTGAGAGTTGACATGAAGCTTTCGTTTGCTTGAGGTGGCACTGACCGTACACCCAGCAGCTGGTACATTATCATACCTGGGTGATAATTGGTGCTATTTTAATCCAAGCCTCATGAGCACTTAAAAGTCATTGGTGTCTCTCTCGTGTTCACGCGGGTAAAACATATTCAAACGAATGCTGCCACCAGATCGAAGAAGATTGGTTACTTAGCAAATGAGGCCTCGGTTTGCGGCTGCCGAGATTGCTTGCGTCCATTGACTTAGCCGCCAGATAAACAAATCCCAATCATTGGTGCTATTTTAACCAGATCAGAGAACTCATCTTCTCCAAGGTAGGTTACTTGCCGATGTAGTACTTAGGTGTGTATATATGGAGTAGGCGACAAATAATGCCTTTTTTTAATTACGTCGACAAATAATGTCTTTTTTAATTACGTCGACAAATAATGCCTTTACTTAACGCGACGGTGTGGTCTCCGGATCGTTTTGGCATCGCGTTTCACCTTTTTTTTACTTGTACATGTGACCTCAGTTATGCTTACGCATATGCCGGTGTGAGTTCACTGCTCGTATGACCTGGGGCTTGTTTTATAAGTCGATAAAAAAACACGGTCGAAGAAAAGGGTAAAATATGCTTGCCTGTCGTCAATACGTAAAACTCGGCATCTAGTAAAACTATTGGTGTTTTAAATTTTAACAAATTTTTGGATATGAATTTCACTTCATGTGGGGTACTACATTTGGGTGATAATTGCGGTAAGGCAGGAGCACATACGGTGTGATATACTTGGTTTAGATTTCCTTGTGAAAGTGAGTCGAAAAAAAGTACAAACATAGACGTTCATATACACATGTTACTTACTTGAACACATGTGCGCGCACACACATATCCTAGGAACACCTATGACAATCTACCGGCATATCTCGAGAGATACCATGTAGTTGAGGTACACTTATCCCTACGAACACTTCCGAGAGATTAAGTCAACACATCTCAAAATTGACGCAGTCATCACATGCACCTTGTAGTTGAGGCGCACGTTATCCGTATGAGCATCTTCGAGAGACTAAGACGGCATATCATGAGATTGAGAAAGTCATTATATACATCATAGTCGACAGGAACATCATATATCACTACACAGACATCACTGTAAAACCTAGAATAAATTCAAAAAAAAAATGCAAACACTCCTGACCAACTGAGACGCCCATTCCAGAAAGTGACTCTCATATGATAGTACTTCCTCTGTAAATAATATAATAGTATTTAGATTATTATTTTAATGATCTAAACGCTTTTATATTAATTTATAGAGGGAGTACTTTTCATCCAACACAATAATGAGCCATGTGTCAAACAAAGCACATGCATAGCCGCGCTAAGTTTTCGGTTGTGCACGCCAAAGTACACCAAAGGACAAATCGTACGGAATGATGCTCCCTGTCCAACACAGCTACGTACATGGATGTCCCGAAACTAGCATTATCATAGCGTATGGTGCAGCCGAGGGTTGACCTTGAAACCTTTACTAATCATTTCTTCGGAAAAGAAACACTTAATCATTGGCGTTACTTTACTCGAGATGTCATGAAACGAGGACATATTGGCCCTCATCGCCATCTTCGTTAAACAAAAGAAAGATAAGAGTCTCGACGAAATAATTGTGGTTTGACATTTCTATCGCCAATCTTTCAAGGATATAAAACTAAGAACAGCGAGGAGGAAAGTAATATATTTTTCATGCTGCTGGTGTGTGATCGTCTACTTTCGCCGTGTCTTCTCCGTGTCTGGATGCGACGTCATAGCGCTTTGTATGGATCGCTAATATTTCATACAACACATATATTGGTGAAAAAATCCTATTACCCACCCCTTTCGAAAGCCGTGAAAAAAATAATCATGTTTACAGTGATAGATCAGTGCATGACAAGCTACCAAATCGTAGTGAATTTTAGTGACACAACATGCCTATATGCATGATGTAAGAATGGCAATAAGGCCGTCTTGATTTCTTTTCGTGTGTGTGCAGGAAGTATTTAATCATATTTTGGCACCAAAATTCACTTGTTTATAGTATTATTAATTGTTATGTACTCCCTCCTTTTCGGTTTATAGGGCTTATCTCAAAATTTTAGTTTTTCCATTTTATAAGGCTCAATTTGATTGTTCTCCATCACATGTTCAGACTTTAAGGTGCATTAAATTATTGCATGCAAGTATTAAGAGAAAATTGACCAATGCATGCACTTTATGCATGCATGCATTGCAATTAATGCATTCGTAAATATAATTTTTTGAGGAAAACAAGATCATTAATTGGGTGCTTTTGCAAACTACAAAAAATATTCCATCACTCATCATCTATCTTGGTTGGTGAGATTTTTGAATTGAGCCTTATAAACCGGAAAAGAGGGAGTAATGTTTACAACAAGCAACAGCACCAGCACCAGCAAGATTATGGATGATGAGCTTCCACATACTTCTGTCCCAAACAAATTGAGGTAGATTAGAGTTGAAACACATAATATCTTGCGAACAACTCATGGTTTCGGCACATGGATGATAAGGCTCTAGGCACATCTGTCCATGACTACTTCTTTGATGATACTCCAGTCCTTCAAATATCTCTTTACAGACTCCTCACATGTCAAGTTCAGTTTATCCTAGACCCGGTCATGGACAACCCGGCCCGTCGGCCCGAACCCGAAGCCCGACATTCAGGCCGGGCTCGGGCTCCATTTTCTGACCCGAAGCCCGGCCCGAAAGCCCGAATAAAGCCCGAAATATATAAAAAAACATATTTTATTTGAAATATAGGTATAATAAATTAAAATAATATCCCGAAAATGATTAATTTAATTAAAAAGTGTCACTGTTCATGTACTTCGGGCCGGGCCGGGCCGGGCTCGGGCTTGGGAATTTCTCTTCGGGCTTTGTCAAGCCCGGCCCGAACCCGACCCGGCCCGACGTTTGCCCGGGTGTAGTTTATCCCGACCTCTCTTGAAATTATCAATACACTTTCATCATCCGCTATGCACTGGAGTTTATGGAGGTAACTATCTTATATAATGTTGAATAAGCATTTCTTCAATCAATGCTACCCCGACTCTATCCCATATATCATCATTTCTCATTTGATCCTTTCTTGTATGACCACACATTCATTTCAACATGTGCATCTCCGCTACACCTAGCTGTTGAACATGTCGCCTTTTACTCGGCTAACACTCAGCGCTATACAACATTGCGGGTCAAATCGTCGTCTTATGTAACCCGCCTTCTAGCTTGTATGGCACTCTCGTCATAGAGAACGTCAGAAGCTTGGCCGCACTTCATCCATCCGATTTTGGTTCGATGGTTCACATCTTCATCAATATCCTCGTCCTTCTGCAGCATTGACCCAAAATATTGAAAGGTGCCCTCCTAAGGCAACACTTGTCCATCAAGATTAACCTCTTTCTCCTTGTGCCTATTAGTACTGAAACCACACCTCATGTTCATTCAGAATAAAGAAAAAGTAATGCAAACAATATCGCAGCTAAAAATGTTGCATTTTCCATATCGAGCGGACATCCACAGAGCGAGAAAAAAATGCATTCCTGCCTTCCCGCGGCCCGCCCTGCCTAACAGAAGTCCATATCACTGCCGACGGCCCACGGCCCACGGCCCACGCCCATCGCATCGTCCTCCAAAGCTCGCCACCGCATCCCGTCGCCTCCTCTCTTACCTTGTCTCCCCCGCCGCTGCCGCTTCATCCTCAGCCATCGCCCACCGCCTCGCCGGTGACCTCCCCCGTCCACCGCCCCCCCGCCTGCGAGTTCGTTCAGGGAGATGTCGTCAAGGCGCGAGAACGGGTCGGAAGGCGACGGGCTCGGAGCCGAGGGAGGCGTGCCTCCGTCGCCTCTGTACGCCGCTCCGGTCGTCTGCCTCCTCCGGTCTGCCGGGGACTTCGGCGCCGGCGCCTTCGTTGGAGGCGTCGTTGGATACGGTATTATCCCCATTCCCCAACCCCGCCCTTTTCTTCTCCCAGATAACTCTATTACGCGTCGCTGCAATCATTATCTATCTGCTGTTGCTGTCCCCAAATTTTCAGTTTTCGTGGTCAGCTCTTATTAGGGCAGATAGTGATAGGAATTTCCCTTGCACTGACGCGTGCAATTCTCACTCGAATCCAAGCTTACGGAAATTCCTAGATAAGGTTATACAGTGTTGCTGGATATATTGCTTTGCAGATAATTGCACGTTGCACGCGATACCTTTAGTTTGGTAGCCTGGACCTTTTAATAGTTTCTGCTAGTCTGAATGTTCTTATACTGCGTTGATATGGTTTCACTAACTTAAAGAACCTGTGAACCCTAGTTATCCCCCTCGCATATAAAATCCTTATGTGGCTCACTCGGTTCTTTTTTCAGGGCAAGGTTTGATCACTAAGAAGGGCTTCAAGGGCTCACTCAGCAATGCAGGCTCTGCTGCCAAGGTTTGTTGTTCATAATGCTTGTGGGGATATGTTCTCTCAAATTGAGATGCATTATCCTTTTCCAGACAGAATGCTCATGATAGAAATTTCTTGAATTAGACTTTTGCAGTTCTCTCCGGCGTCCAGAGTTTTATTGTGTGCTTATTGAAAAAGCTACGCGGAAAAGATGATCGTAAGTTTACATTTTTATCTTTCTATTTGTGTGTTGGAATCTCGATGGTTGAACATATAGTATGAACTCAACTGACATGTTCCTTTGACAGTTGTCAATTCTGGCATTGCTGGATGTTGCACTGGCCTTGCCTTGAGCTTTCCAGGTACATTTGTGTTGAACTAATGTTACTTTCACAGCTCACTAGTGTACGTGACAATGGTATTGTCTGGTTACTGTACCTCATATGAAAAAGGATGGTGTATGATATTGGGTGTCATTATCATTTTTTGTTAGTACTTACTAGTGGCAAACATGTTTTGGTTTATAGTGTACCAAATATTTGGTGCTCTGGCTACTTGATTGTTCAACAGTTATTTTTCTGAAAATCTAGCGACCCTGAATTGCTATGTGTAAATTCCTGGTTGGCAATCTGTAAAAAACTCTTTACTTCCTAAAACTGTATGGTTAGGACAATAATTTGCATTTGGTAAACTGTGTAGTATGTAGGTACTCCATTGAGCGTAAGTTATATGTTGTGTGCTTGTAGTTCTTGAATTGGATTTCAACTGATATTTATTTAGAGAGATCGGGTGTGAATGTAAACTGAATTTTGCCTATAAATGCATGACTGAATTGCTTCCTCTAATTGTTACTCCCTCCGTCCCAAAATAAGTGTCTCAGCTTTAGTTTGAGACACTTATTTTGGGAGGGAGGGAGTATACTTTATCAAAGCTGGTTTCCAAGCAGTTCAGTATCATGTCTAAGAAATTAACAAAATCAAGATACCTTGTTCTTACTCAGGAGACACTTGAGTGCGTGTTTTGCTTGTCGTTGGAATCTTGCACACACTGGATAAGACGGGACAGGGTCCAAATTAACTGTAATGACACTTGAAAAAAAGTCGAGCTATATTCATGTCTAACACATCATGCAGAAACTGAATCACTCATGCATCTGTGGTGCTGATTAGCACATTTTATTAAGAACAATTCGCTGCAATGTTCAGTTTCAGTTAGTGCTCATGGGTAATACGTTACCTGAAAAAGGTCAGTAATATTAGTGGCTAGCTGGACACATTGTTATGCATGCATCTCTTGTTAGCTCAAACTGCACCGCTATGTCGCTTTACCGGCACATATGTTTTACCTGCATAGCTTTTCTCTGTAATATTCAAGTGTCCAAGGAGGCATGAGTCTATAGCTGGCACATTGGAAGGATGTTTGAAGATTGGATTTTTGTTTGTGGGGATCATTTGTGCATGTGCGCCAAGCTGCTCTTTAGAATAAATTATTGATACCAGCGACAGTTTATCTCTTTACTATCAGAGCTTTGGTTACATCATTTCTCATGTGGTTGGTTCTCTTAACCCAGGAACACCTCAAGCGTTGATTCAGAGCTGCGCCACCTTCGCAGCGTTCTCTTGCATAATGGAGGGGCTGAACAAGCAGCAGGCTGCAATGGCCCACACGCTCGGCGGAAACGCTCTGACCTTTGGGCACGGGAAAGGCGGCGTCCTCCCCCCTTTCACGCTACCACCAATCCTCGACGCATCAGATGCTCTAGCTTCATGCTGCCAGACCTTAGTGAAGCCCAAGCACTAGGCAACATCATGGGGAGAGAAAGAGAGAGAGAGAGAGATGATCAGTAAAAACCTTAGCACCAGACTTCCTTAGCGTATGGAAATTCGTTTCTGGACTTGTCAAGAGTGTGTAGTTTTGCTTCCTTGCCAGTCTTTTTCTTGATGCGTTCTGCAGCATGTGCTCCTTTGACATGGCAGATAAAAATCCTGAAAAACCTTCGCATTTTGTTCTCCTGTTAACATCTGAGACATGGTTTTGTGACAAGTACAGTAAGAATGAAGTGATTGCAGTTCTTCAGATTCTGAATATCTCTGATCCATACTGTATAATGGAGTACTAAGCATTGCCACTGGTATCTTCACATTGAACTGGTATCCTACTGATTGCTCACTGGCCTACAATCGAAGCTGCCTGTGGTCGACGGGGTCGGTTTGCAGAGGCCAGTGGTGCACCTAATGAATAATTCAGGCTGCAGCTGCCGGCGTCCACTTCACCACTCTGACCTCGCCGGACGCGTCTCCGGTGAAGACCATGCCGGGGGTCCTGAGCGACATTGCCGTGACCTCGCCGTTGCAGTGAATCTGGCCTCTGGGTTTGAACGACGGGAGGTCGTAGACACGAACGATGCCGTCGCCGCGCGAGACCAGCAGGACGGGCTTCTTGTCGGCGTCGTGCGTCCCGTCCATGGCGACCACCCGCTCGCCCTCTTCCCTGTGGGTGTAGTGCACCTCCAGCTCCGGCTCGACGTCGTCACGGTCCGGCTTGGACCTCCAGGCCTTGACGGTGCCGTCGACGGACGAGGAGAGCAGGAACCGGTCCCAGCACAGCAGCGCGGTGACCATGGACGCGTGGCCGGCGAATCTGCAGACGCACCGGCGCGTCTCGAGGTCCCAGACCCTGATGCCGCCGTCCGACGCACCAGAGTAGAGCGCGCCCTTCCCCTGGGCCAGCGACGCGACGGCGTGCCCGCCGTGGCCCGCGAGCGCGGCGACCTCGTCGAAGCGCTGGTGGTCTCGGTCCAGCCTCCACATGTAGATGGCGCCGTCCTCCGCGCCGGCGAAGAGGCGCTCGTCGTCCTCTGCCAGGAGTGCGGTCACCTGCGCGCCGTCGGCGGGCAGCCGCAGCCGCAGCTCATTGCCGCTCCCCGCGTGGAGCGCCCTGACGGCGCCGCGGACGCCGACGAGCACCCACGGGCCCATGGCGATCAGGCGGCCCACCTCCCCTTCCTGCACCGGCGCGACGCGGACGCACTGCCCGGTAGCGCAGTCCCAGGCGCGCACCGTGCCGTCCAGGCTGCCGGAGAAGAGCTTGCCGGACCCTTCGGGCACGGCGACGCCGGTGACCGCCTTGGAGTGGCCCTCGAGCCGGGCGACGCCGCGGATGCCGTCGCCGACGCACCATGCGCCGCCGACCGGTGGTTCCTGGACGCGATCAGAAGCCGCCGGAGGGACCGCGGCCTCGCGGGCATTGGTTGCGGGGCTGGGTTTGGTCGGCGGCGGCGGCGACACCGGAGGAACCGCGGCCTCTCCTTCATCGGTTGTGGCGCTGGGCTTGGCGATTTTGGAGGAAGTGTTGACCCAGGTGTTGCTGCGCTTCTTGGCGACGACGACGACGGCCGGCGGCGCCTCCGCCGGATCGGCGTGGAGGAACCGGCAGGGGTTCCGGCCGCAGTGGCCGGACTTCCAGTAGCGGCAGACGGGCGGCGGCGCGGTGCCGGAACACGCGGTGTCGCCGCGGCGCAGCTGATGCGAGGCGGGCGGGAGGAGGGGTTGGCGGCGCTGCACGGCCGCCATGGAGGGGAGGCGGCGATCGGTCGAATGGGAGTGGGGGAATTCCGCGTTCGCTGGTGGGTTCGCGTTCAGCTATATGTAGATCGGCAGCCCGGCCCCGGTTCGTGCCAGTAGTGCTACTTACCGACCCCAGCATGCAAAGCGCACACGGCGGCGCGTTTTCGTGATTTTGTAATAAAAATCCCTACGCCGTGAAATTAAAAAAAATACAATTAATGTACATTAGGTTTCTTTGGTATTCAATTTTGAGAAAGATTTGTATCACGCCATATCAAAAACATATGGCATGGCAGTTTGACAGGAAGGGGTTATTCTATGTCCGCTCAGCATATAGGATTCATGTCGACCTTCTTCGGCGCCAATGCCAGCGGCAAACTGGTGAATGCTCGTCAGGGCGGGAGGAGGAAAAGAAAATGTGGCGGCACCTCTGGCAAGTGAATTGCCCCGGGAAGGTACATCACTTCATGTGGAGATTGGCACACAATAGTCATCCTTTGCTGCGAAACGTGGAGCACATTGGAGTTGAACTGGACACAAGTTGCGTGGTGTGCCATCGTCTGCTGGAGGACGGAGGGCACTTGTTTCTGCGCTGCAAAGAGGTAAAGAAAATGTGGAGTGCTTGTGGTCTGGAGGGTGTTCGTCAAAGCCTGCTTGAATGCCAAACATCTCGCCGGCTGCTGGAGGAACTCTTTCGTATACCCGAGGATGTAAAACTAAGAGCAATTTGCCTCATGTGGTTGTGGTGGACAGAGAGGAACAAAGCGAATCATAACCAAAACAGAGCATCAGCGGAGGAGTTTCAGTCTTCAGTTACCAGACATGTCACTAAATGGCGGGAATACAATGCAAAACATGTACAACCAAGAGTGCAGAGGATTCAGAAATGGGTCAAGCCAGCTCTGGATGTGGTTAAAATCAACATTGATGCAGCTTTTAGGGGCCTGTCATAACCTGATGGCTGGGGGTGCATTGCTCGGGACCATGCTGGAGACGTCCTCTTCGCGGCCGCCGGCGTGTTGGAAAACATGTCCGATGCTCTTCATGCTGAAGCTTCGGCCCTGCTGCATGCAGTCCGGTTTGCTGAAGACCATAGCATGGGTCGTGTTGTTTTTGAGACTGATTGCTTGGCTCTTGTGCAGACCACCAATCCTGGAACTCTTTCGATCCCCACTGGGTGCCATCTTTCGCGAGCTCAAATACCTGCTCCAGTTCGGTTTTATTAAGTGGAATGTCTACCACTGTCCACGCGCTTGTAATGCCCCAGCCCATGAACTGGCTGCTTTAGGCTGTAGTGGTGTCTATGGGAACCAATTTGTTTGGCTTTCAAATCTCCCTGATATTGTAACTCGTGTGGTGACCACCGATCTGGTTGGTCCTTGGTAATTGGAATGCACGGTGTTCCAGTAAAAAAAAACATAATCATATCTTTGTACTTTGTAGAAGACAAAATCACAGTTCCATCCTCTTAAACCAGTGTCTCAAAAATATTTTCTCTTATACCATGGTAAAAGCGTAACTCCGCCTATGTCTTCTAGGCATAGCCGGTCCCAAGCCCGGGTAAAGGAGGAGGGTTGTGATAGGCTTGGCGAGCCAACGTAAAAACTAGCCAGTCCCATAGGTATGAAACCCATTTGAGCGAGAATAGTACTAGGATGGGTGACCTCCTAGGAAGTCCTCGTGAAAGGGTTTCATATCTAAGGGTTGTGATAGGCTTGGCGAGCCAACGTAAAAACTAGCCAATCTTTTGGGTATGAAACCCATTTGGGCGAGAGTAGTACTAGGATGGGTGACCTCCTGGGAAGTCCTCGTGAAAGGGTTTCATATCTAGCCTACCCCAACTTGTTTGGGATAAAAGGCTTCGTAAGTAAGTACCATGGTAAAAGCGTAGCAACAGACTCCACGCCTGGTGAACGCGAGGGTGTGTTTGGTAGCCTTCTCACCCTTGTTCTCCACCGAGACACGCTGGCTCTAGACATGCCCGAGTACATACCTTACAGTATTTATGTAGTAGCATCCATCTAATGAGACGACATGCTAACCTGAGATTTTTCTGTTTGATAGCATGTACTATATGAGTTCAGTGTGGTTACCTCATTCCTGATATTGCCAGAATGCCACCACAATCATCTGCTCCCTCTGTACACTAATAAAAGACGTTTTGAATCATTACTTTAGTGATCTAAAATGTCGTATATTAATTTACAGATGGAGTAACAATGAAAAAAAAAGGATTGTATACACAGTTCTAGCAAGATTTCAACATAAGTAAATATTTGCACAAAGTTTTGACAATAGCTAGACATGGAAAACATTGAACCAAGTATCAAAGAACAAGGCAAAAACATTACTGCTCTTAACAATGTAGAATTTGCATAGATCAATGACACAAACGGATGAGCTCTACTCGCTGCCATTTAGAATTGCAACGATCTACAATATAAACTGAGTAAGAATTGTAAAAAAAAAAAATTTGTTGTTGCAGAAATTCATTGTTTTGCCACCAAACACACAAGAATGCAAGCTATTGAACATTCAAGCCTCCTTCAAAATTCCCATAGACTCCACCAAACACGCCCCAAGTAACTTAAGCAATTCAGTCTCAGGTTGTCATGGACGAAATATTTCCTTCTTCAAAGTTCTCGCAAGGGTAAGAGCAATCATCATGCTGGAAAAGCAGGGCATAGAGTTCAACTAATTGAGCCTTTGATATAACTCGAAAAATACAGATACAAAGGGCAAATGGAGAAGCGCCATGTCCTCCTCTCTGCACATAAACTCCATAGTTCTCATGATAACAGAAACGCAGTTCTCATAGTAGGCAAGCTGTGTATGGAGATACTAATAGTCTAATACTACCACTCATTTTACCACCCACTCATCATTTGAACGATTTCAACCAAGGGTTCCCTCCGACAGGTCCATCAGTTTGCCATGTGTACGCTGGCCTCGACTTGCTTGGCAGTTAACAGGGCCCGGACTTCGGTATCTTGATCGGCCATCTCGGCGGCTGCCTGCCCGTAGGCATTCTCCTTCTTGGGACATGCGCCAGCCTCGAGCAGAAGCTTGACGGTGTCCATGTGTTCCCCTCTGGCAGCATGGTGGAGTGGCTGCACGGAGCAAACATATAAGGTTATAGACCACTGATAGCACAAAGCTGTAAATGCAACATGGTTGGCATATGATCAAGTGGTCAAGAGGGCTTACAGTATCGCCTTCAGCATCAACGGTGTT